CTCATCACTCCTCCTCCCACTCCCACTCTCATCACTCCTCCTCCCACTCCCACTCTCATCACTCCTCCTTCCACTCCCGCTCTCATCACTCCTCCTCCCACGCCCAATCTCATCGCAACGCCTTGCTGGTGGCATGACTTCCGTTTTTACACGGAGCCATATGGCACATCCACAACCCAACAAGTGCTCTCTAAGCCTGTGCTGGACTTGCACCAGAGGGCACAGGATAGTTGTGTTTCACTCACAAGCCCTTCCATATCTTTGATGTTCTTTGAGAGGCAGGTGTGCATCAAATTGCACAGTATGGCTGTTGTCCAATCAAATGGACTTCATGATTGCATTCTCCTTAAGCAGCACTGAAGCAACGCTGAGCAGGTTAAGAAGCCTCGAGCGCATCATGCGCATCTACAAGCACCGACAAGCCCCCTTGTTTTTTATGCGCCCACAAGCACCTGCAAGCGTCCACAAGCACCCAGGAGCACCCATGAGCTCCTATCAGTCCCCACAAGTGTTCTCAAGCGTGCATGAGTAACCAGAAGTATTCACAAGCGTCCATGAGCACCCGCAAGCCCACACAAGCACCCACAATGCCCCCAAGCACCCACAAGTGTCCATGACCACTAACAAGTTCCCGCAAGCTCCCACATGTTCCCATGAGCATTTACAATCCAAAAGCACGCACAAGCACCTCAGCCGTCCCAGCTGATCTGCGCTCAAAGACAGGCACAACTAGAAGACCTTAGAGGAGGCACAGTTAGAAGACCTTAGAGGAGAGGAGGCGCAGCTAGAAGACCTTAGAGGGAGAGAAGCAGAAGACCTTTTAGGAGAAAGCACAGCTAGAAGACCTTAGAGAAAAGGAGGTGCAGCTAGAAGACCTTAGAGGGAGAGAAGCAAGAAGACCTTAAAGAAGAAAGCACAGGAAAATCTTACAGGAAGAGGCACAGCTGGAAGACCTTAGAGGAGGAGGCACAGCTAACAAACCTGAGAGGAGGAGGCACGGCTAGGAGATTTAGAAAAGAGAGAAGCTAGGAGACCTAAGAGGAAGAGGCACAGCTGGAAGACCTTAGTTGATAAGGGACCTCCCCCATCCCCCCCTCAGCCATCTCAGGCTGTATTTGATGCTCCAGTCAGGACTGCCAGGATCGGAAATCTGTGTGCAGCCTGAGGTGGGTGAGGAAAGCATAAGCAATTCCGAACCCCAGAACATTCCCAAGGCCTCGAAATAGCTCTATCTGCGCATCCCAACAAAAACCCCACTGCCACAAAAGAGCTCTATCTGGGCAATCCAACCACAACTCCCAAGGCCACACAAGGGCTCTACCTGCGCAACCCAATGACACTCCCCAGACCACAAAAGAGCTATATACAAGCAACCCAACAACACCTGCAAGGCCACCAAGAGCTCTACCTGCGCAACTCAGCAACTACCCCAACAACAACCCCAACGCCAAAAAAGAGATGGCTCGTGCGCTTAGCTTTAGTTGGGAGATTAGCCGCTGTCGGATTCGAACCCACAATAGCTGGCTTATGAGACCAGTGCTTTAGGCCTGACTAAGCTAAGCGCCTATCTGTATAGAAATAATACCCTTTCGGCCGAGACTCTTGTACACGTCTAAAAACCCTAACTGGAAGCACCTAACCAGCAGGCCCGACCCCACCCCTCTACCTACGCAACTCAGCAACTACCCCAACAACAACCCCAATGCCAGAAAAGTGCTCTATCTGAGCAACCCAACACCCCCCCAAGGCCACGTAAGAGCTCTATGTGCGCAACTCAACAACCCTAATGCCAGAAAAGAGCTTTACCTGAACAACCCAACTACACCCCGGATGCCACAAAAGGGCTGTACCTGCGCAATCCAACAACACCCCCAGGGCCGCATAAGAGCTCCATCTGAGCAACTCAGCAACACCCCAAAGGCCATGAAAAAAGCACTATCTGAGTACCCCGACAACATCCCCAAGGCCACAAAAGAGCTGTACCTGAGCAACCCAGCAACACCCCTAAAGCCACAAAAGAGCTCTATCTGCGCAGCCCAACAACACTCGTTGGGCCACAGAAGAGTTTTAGCCGTACCCAACGCAGCCTCAGCCTCAGCACACATAGAGTGTTGATCCCAAAGGAGGGAAAAATTGATTGAATGACAAGAAATCTAACATGCCTGTTACGGTTGTGATGAAAAGGCACACTCGAGATGTTTTGAAGAGGTTTCCCAGGCCTCATACATTGTTAGTAACAATGCAGTAACGTAATGTAGATTGTTACGATGCCATTGATTGACACAGGCGGAGCAGCAGCCAAGGACACAATCCCTGAGCACATCCTGAACACATCATGGCAGAAACAGGTCAAATCCCAATAAGACCAAGCACAAGGTTGACGTTTCCATGAACATGCGACATTTATTTTGTGCTTTCCCTGCCCAAAAGCTGAGAGGTCCGGCACGCTTGCACGAAATTGGCCCATGCAAATCATCGCGCACTCGAAATGTAGTCTCCTTCCAAGCCATAGCAGCTGCCGCGCCTGCAGCAGGCGTAATCCTCACTTGCCCTGACAGCTCCGCCACAAGCATCCCTCTCAAGACACAGCACCTGCGGAGGGCGCTTACACAAGCTATCATTTATTCACACCAAGCACCACCCACCCAGGCCACTGCAGCTACCACACCTGCAGCAGCAGCCTGTACAGTCCCACCAGCTGCCGCAAGCACATTCCCTGCTCTCAAACCCTGACGACTGCAGCACACACAGTCCTCTCAAGCCAGAGAAGCTGCTGCACCTGCAGTAGGCGCCAATAAAAGCTACCCGGTATTCACCAAGGGCACAACTTTCTCAAGCCACAGCAACTGCCACACCTGCAGCAGCAGCCCACACAGTCAGAGCAGCTGCTGCAGTCACATCCCCTGCTCTCAAAACTTTGACTTTTGCAGCACGCACAGTCCTCTCAAGCCACAGCAGCTGCCACACCTGCAGCAGGCGCCAATAAAAGCTACCCGGTATTCACCAAGGGCACAATTTTCTCATGCCACGGCAACTGCCACACCTGCAGCAGCAGCCCACACAGTCACAGCATCTGCTGCAGTCACATCCCCTGCTCTCAAAACTTTGACTTTTGCAGCACGCACAGTCCTCTCAAGCCAGAGAAGCTGCCGCACCTGCAGCAGGCGCCAATAAAAGCTACC